AGGTGGGGCAGTGGATCGACGTGATTCGCGACCCACCGCCGTCCTTTCTGGAAACCATAGTCGTGGCCTACGAGATGGTCGAGCTAGGCGAGTTGTATAGGACAATAAACGGCGACTTTACAAACTTGCCCACGCACGACACGTATTATTCCGACAACATCGTGCACCGAGAGTCTGGTGCAAAGTTTCGTCCAAACGCGCGCGACAACGTGCGAAAGGAATTCAAGTATCGCGTTTCCAATCGCCCCAACTACAGGATCGTGGACGACTCGGAAAAGAGACCGCTGGGTCCGTCCACGGATAGCTTCTTCCATTCGACCGGCGGAGGCCGCTACAAATCGACTCTGCGTACCAGACGGACGGTGTACGAGACAAATAATAATAATAATAATAATGAGCCCAAGTTTCACGGAAATTCGGACGACGACTACGCTGAGCGCAACGTGGATAGCGACGACGACGCTGAAGACGGTGACGACGGTGACGACGACGTCAGTGACGAGATCAGGCGCTACAAGTACAAGAGATACTACACCGAAAGCGATCACATTATGCGAGCTTTGCGCAACGTCTAGTACGTGTCTTTTTTGAAATAAACAAACAATCATTCGAGAGGCTTTATTTTTCTACATACACAAAACGTACGTATATATACGCGCGCCTGCCGAAGCGCGTCGACAAACGTAGAACATGACCGGAGTAGCATCCAGCGTGTCCAAAGTGTTTCGCGAGGCCACCAAGTTTGATCAATCGCGAACCTTCGACTGGAGCAGAGTAGTGGCCAACGTTTATTCGGAAGACTCAAATGAGGAAGAGTTTGAACGAGAGAGGGTCGTCCTGTTCTCCGAAATTTGTAAACTTTCTCATGTGTCCGCGAACGCTCTGACCGTTTTGGACCTTGTCGACTATCCGACCTTGGAGGACGCACAATTGTTGTACATTGTTTGTACGTATACGCACCTCAAGACCATACTCCTGAGGAACGCCCCCCTATTGTCAAACTCTGCTCTACAATACTTGGCGACCTACGCTCAATCTCTCGAACATCTTCAAATCAGCAACAACGGTGGCCGTATCAGGAACGAGGGATTGATTCATCTGGCTCCTTTGCGTCGACTCAAGAGTTTGTGTCTGACTGGAATAAGAAACGCCAGTCGAGCTGTCCTTCGAGTGATATTGCAGAACAACGAATCTATATACGCTATCTTGGTGATAACGACGGAACTCTTCGCCTCTAAAGATAACGTGACGCACTTTGTCTTTTGCGCTTCGAATCAGTTGAGTCAGGAAATGTACGATTTTGTTTTTTGTAGCGAAACGTTATCTCCGTTTTCAGATAGCGAGTGAGGGTATATATATATATATGTACTCGCACGTACTACGCTTACAGCAAAGCTAACCCTACCCTCTCCCCCGACATCACGACACGACACGACTACTACCCTATAACCCAAAGCGACAATGGCTCGACTAGACAGGTCCCCATCTCTCCCGCTGGCCGACACCTGCGTACAAGTGTTCGCTCAGTCCAGAGTGTCAAGCGCGGTGGATTGGAAAACAGTGGTGCTTAGTATATACCACGAAAAAGAGGGCTACGCTTGGGACAACGTGGAAGGGCAAATTCACTGTGCGTATACCGAAATTTCAATATTAAGAAGCTTTCCTACGCACATCACATTCTTGGAGTTGGTGCACTATCCAATGCTGCGAGACCGCCACGTCAGTGATTTGGTTCGTTTCTACCCGAACATCAAGACTTTGCTCCTACGTCACGCACCCGGCTTGACCAACGACTCTGTAAAGTGCTTAGCGGACGGTCTACCTAATTTGACTCACTTGCAGATTGATCGTGCCTAGACCTAGACGACGAAGCCTTGATGTATCTCGCAGAAAAGAGGATCATCGACGTTGGCATACGGAGCCTCTGCATGACCGGACTCGGATTTATACGCCGAGAAACGCTTCACCAATTTCTCAACGTGCATCGAAGACTGACTACTCACCGCTAGAGACGTCCCCAACAAGGACGTCTACCTTGGTGAATACACTTTGTGTATTTCTAGCACAGTGTCTCCGTCACTAAGAAACATTGCGCCAACCGACCTAGACGTTATCGAAGGTGTGGACGGTGTTGTGGGTGACATCGAGTACCAAGACCTCGACAGTGACGACGGTGACGGTGACGACGGCTACAGTGACGACTACGACAGTGACGCCGACGAATATCTCGAATCGGACGACGACAGAATGCTGGGTCCGATCGTCCTAAACACCTTCAACTACGACGAAGGAGAAGACTCAATGGGCGAAGAAGACGACTGAGTTATGCTTGAAAATAAATATTTCGCGTGCTTATATTTTTGAGTCACGAATCGTTCTTTTGCATGCACACTACACTAGTGCCAGTACAAATAGTTTATTTAATGAATTCGATACATTCCACTCACTGCAGATTTACAAAGGCAACACACAGATTGCTCTCTCGAATTGTAAATCATTGGAAATAGACAATTTAAACATAAGGCGGCGTGGGCACAGGGCAAAGTAACTATACACACCGGACAGTTCATGCAGACGACGCAAATCGTCGTGGACGGATCGGACCGCTTCATGGAGATGCTCGTCTTGTCGATGCGCGTGGGATACGGACGTCCTACGCTCAGCGCCGAAAAAGAATCGCTGTTTTCGAGAAAGGACTTTAGCTTGTTCGGACAGGAAAGATCAAACTTGGAAGTGGCCAATGCTGTTATAAAGTCTAGGCTGTATTTGTTTGAGACAAACTCAATGTCCTTGGTATATTCTAGCAACCAAAATAAATCGCTATTTCTATACACGTCGGACACCTCCTTGATGTAGGTTACGCTCGCGCACAATCGAAGATAGGGGCAGCGAGGGTTGTACTTGGCGTGTTCCTCGACTGGGTCGTCGTAGTCGGCTTCCCACGAAAGCAACCGAAGTCCGCAACAAAAGCATTCCACGGTCCGATCGGTCAGGTAATAAAATCCCGCAGATGCCATGTAATCCACGTCAAAGACGTCTTCTTCTTTCGGCCGAGCGTCGAAGGAGGCGAACCTCGCAGTGTAAGTCTGAAACTCGGACCTAAAGGCAAGCGCTCGTTCGGTCACCACCGCCGAGACGTCTGGACTCAGCGTGCGTAGCGGTGCGTCACAGTCGGATTCGTGCAGTCCTTGGGGAAGTGTTTCGTCCGAGGCCACGATAGTAGAGAGTTGAGTCTTTTGCTGGCACATCGAGCAGCTGAGAATCCGCTTCTCCGGATCGTAGGCGAGTCCTGCCATGGCAAAGTCCTTGGGTGTGGGGGTACTGTTGCGCAAAGGCCACGTCGCAAAAGTTTTAAAGTCGGACATCACCTTGGCCACAGTCGGGTCGTGGTCGAACAGTCTCCAGTAGAAAGACATGTTCTTAAGCAAAGTAGACTCTAGAAATAAAGTCGATTTTGAGTCTACGGGCCTTGCAATGTTTGAATAATATGGTGCAGTCGAAACACGACACGCAGTGTCCGCACGGCAAGTAGGCAATGTTAGCCGGAGCCTTCATGCATACGATGCACCTCTTAGTTGATTCGTCTCGTGACTTTATAGCGGAATAGTGCGTATCACTGATCGCGCTATCTATCACAAAGTTACCCCACCTACCGATAGCCTTGTGATCGAACGAAGGAAGGGCGTTCACTGGCTCAAACAGAGTGTGACTGCCCAACGGAGTCGCCTTGCTGCTCCGAATGGCACTCACCATCGCCGATACGTTCAAGGGATGCGTCAGGTTGGCCGTGTACAGAGTACTCATAGTCCTGTTGCGGAACTTTGGGTCCTTGACGAGATCGTCGATCTCGGGAAAGTGAGACGCCCAGTACATCTCGCTCCTGTAAAACTTTTCGACTGCATCGTGCACGTAGTAATAGGTCTTGTTCACTCGTAGAAACACGCAATTGGGGGACCTGCGGGCGTGTAGCAGCCACGGATCGTCTTCTTCGCAGTCGAGGATCGAAAATACTTGCACCCCGCAGTAGAAACAAACGAATATGCGGGTCACTATCTGTTCGCGGGAGAGGTAGCCCTGCTCGTCGTCGTGCGAGCAGAAAAAGCCGGCCTTGGCGAACGCAGGGCCTCGAACATCGTGAAAGGTCTTGGCTCGAATCTTCTCGTCGACGTATCTCTTGTAGACCGGGTGAGAGTAGCTCGGCAAGACGGACACGACCCTTGCTACGTTCAGCCGCGGGTCCCTGTACTGCTCGAGAAACTTGCACGGCATTCGGCGGTGAAGGTCCATCGGGTGAAACGTGAGCGTCTCCCAGTCCTGTTCGGCGACTTGAAATTTGCAGTGCCGACAGTAGATGTGTTTCCGGTCAGCGCAATATTCTAGGCCGGCATAGGCAAAGTCTCGAGGCGTGGATCTGGTGCAAAGTCGCCATTCGGCGAACGTCTTGAAGCGACGCACGACTTCCTTGCTTATGGGATCCGTAACGAGGTGCGCCATAGCGACGATAATGAGAGGAGCCCTCTACTCGGTGCGCAATATATATTCTCTCCATATCTAGGTTGACCTCGACTGGGAGCGGAGTCGACCTCCCATAGGCGGTAGCAATTTTGTTTATTATAAAAATGTCTGTCGCAGAAAATTTTTTAGACCTGTTGAAAAAGGGACGATGTCAACACTCGGTGAATCACGAAGACGCCACCGATATTTTATTACCCGTATTCCGGCAGCGGGGAAATCAAAACGTGTCTTACAGGAGAGATGGCGATAAATACGTGCCCACGCTCCCGAACGACACGTCGACCTTACTCGGCTACTCGTCCAAGAAACTCATGCAGCACATTACCAAGGCGCGCACGACGCTCCTGACCAACGGAGATGTGGAACCGGTTGCAGATATGCTCTTTCGCGTTTTCGAGCTCGGTAGTAACATACTGATGACGGTCGACATGGATCAGATGGCCATCCAAACGCTCCTGAATGACAATACAGTATTTCACTGCGTAATGGGAATCGAATACGTACGAAACAGTCTCAACATACTTAGGAAAACCTCTTCCTCGTCGACCACTCAGCGCGTCATCAGGGATCTGAAGCCGTACGTGGACGCGTACGCTACTGCCATTTTGCGCCTGCTACTCCTCTACATCGAAGAGATATTTTCCCATGCGCGCGAGGCGACTCGCGGTATGGCGGTGGGCGCAAGGACGGCAGCCAAGATTACGGCGGTCATGCTAGTATCCCTGTGCAACTACGCGGCGGTGCGCGTAAAGTGCAACCCCATCTTTCAGTTTGAGAGCGCCATGGGCCACAACTGGCTCGACGTGGCCAACGGTCTCAGCCTCGTGCACAGGATCACGCAGCCACACACCGTCAACGAAAACATTGTCGGGGCCATTCGCGTAAAGTTTTCGCAAAACAACAAGCCACAGGACGTCATCAACCTCCTGGTCGAAGACAGCAACAGGTTGTACACGAGTAACGTCGAGAACGGAGTGTCCCGCTGCGACACCGACTACATGACGCTCCGGACCGTCATGCCGGCCGAGCGGGTCACGGACGACGTCAACATCATCGATCCGGCCATCTCTACGACGCTGCGTGACCACAACGAGCTCATCATGAAGAGTTCCGACACGATCCCCGTGCCGCGTACCAACCACTACGTGCTAGCCCTGCAGAAGGAGAAGGCGCCGGCCACCGAGGTGTCGGTCCTTAACATCGCCTCCATCATAGAAGAGTGCATGAGCAACGGGCGCGTGGACTCTCGCTTCGTCGAAGTGCACAAACAGTCGGACCAGGGCACGCAGGAGCTCAACAAATTTTACAGCCAGGCCTGTTGCGTCTCGCCCCGTAACCTCGGTCTGTTTCTACAGTGCCTAAACTTTGAGATGATGGACTCGGACATGTTTGGGGCCACCTTACAGTGCCTCAAGATGACCAAGGGCATACCCACTCCGCGCCAGGAAGAAATTGCCACCTACTCAAACACGGCGCTATTTCGGATGGCCACCAACCTGTTTTATCACACGCGTTTCTGCAGGAGCTACCGCGGCGAAAACACCTACCTGTACGACTCGCGCTTCTTTAACGACTTTCTACTCTGGGTCCAGTCGCCCAACTGTCTGGAACACCACATCTCGCCTAGCGTGTCGTCGTCCATCATCTCGTGGTGCACGTCCATGTCTACTGCCATGCACACTACGCGCGACGCCAACGGAGCGAAGTGCGCCATGGCGGCCATATCCACGTGCGAGGTGGACCAACGCGTACTAGCCGACTTTTTGAACATGTTCATCAAGCTCTTTATCGAGGACGAGACCGAGATTAGCGTCATCAACAAGAAATTTCTCGAGAAGGAACTACTCGAGGCTTTTGCCTCTGTGTCTAATTGCTACAACCTGTTTAGGGGGCAGTTTGTTTCGGCGACGGTCTTGCGCCTCTTCCTAGCCCGTTGTAGGTGGTCCGTGGCCGACGACGTGGAAGTCATCGTTCCGGTCGAAACAAAGTTTCTCAACAGACTGATATGCGACAGCGACGACCTGTTGTCCAACTCGATGCGAGACAAGCTCCGTAAAACCATGGAAGACGTCTCCACGATGATGGCGCCGCTACTCTCCAATCCATCCACGTCCGCGCCTCACAGCAAGGACGACGACAGCAACGCGCCCATATGCATTTGAAATAAAAAACCGCCAACGCCCCCATATACATTAACAAAAAGGTTCGGTGACTGATTTGAACGATCGAGGGAGTAAAATGTTGAAACAGGTCACGTTCGTCGATATCTTTTCGCAACAAAAAATGAGGACCCTGCGAGACTATCTCCATTGCGAACTGGACCTTTCGGTATCGATACCCTATAAAATCTGGATCGCTATCGCAAATTTCTTTATTCAAAACAACGTCCCATCGGTCGTAGAGGGAGCAGAGTGTTGTCAGAAAGACAGCTCGTCGTCCCACTATCTACTCGTCTTTTCATACAGGGACAAGGACGCCAACCGAGTGGTGGTGGACTGCATAAACTTCATCAACGTGCTGCGCGATCTCAAGGTGCACGACGTGATATGCACCAAGCACTACGTCTACCTCTACGTCCGTCACTCGTCGGCGCATCGCAACGTGCATGCAATTCTACCCTTTCTCCACCACGTTCTGCAAAGCTATGTAAACGACAAGACGACCACTTTGCCACTCGATTACACTTTCGATCCCCTGGAAGAACAAGAATCCTTCTTCGACGTGATTCCAGTCACGTACCACGGCACCTACGAGGTGACCACCTCTCTACCGGCGCTCGTGGCCAAAATCAAACCCAAGGAAGACGGACAGTATGTGTCAGATCGCCTTTATTGCGAGAAGCATTGGATGTGTCTACACAATCTGGTCGTCTTGAGGCTCGTCGACTGTTTCTACTACATCACTATACAGAAATTGTAGATATTAAAAGATGTTACAAAGTCAAACATTACGTCCACCAACGACTATGGCATTTACAAAGTGTCGTATTACAAGAAGTGACTCGCTTTCGCTTGTGTTTGTCTGCTTTGCCTAAAATAAACGCTTACGCTAGCTTGCACGCTGCTATACATCTGTGTCTCTATGTGTGTGCGTCTGTGTGTGTGTGTGTCCAAACAAACGTTCTTTTATTCACAACATGTCGTTGTAAATGGCGTCGAAACTAGGAAATCGAAGGTTGCTCAGTCGCCGCTTGTTCTTCTTATAGGCCCGTCTGATGAGGCTAGTGGTGAACGTGCGAGACCAGTCGCTGCTCTGTCTAAAGATGCACAAGACGCGTCGTAGATCCATCGTCTTGATGCAGGGACACAGACAGCGGGTCTCGTACCACTTGTAGACGGCAGCAAGGGCTTCCACGTCCGACCAATTGTCGTAGTCGTCATCAAACTCCATAGCACCCATCATGTAGAGCGCCGAAAGCGCCTTGATGGCGCTGGAAACCGCAAGGTGTTCGCCGCTAGATTCGATAACGTAAGCTCGTATGTCCACCGCAGATTCCAACGCGTCGCTGGCCTTTAGGGCCCTTATGACGCTCGCAACGTCGGCGAGACTCACGCGGCACGCCTTGTTCTGCCCCATGGTCGTGATCGGTCGCGTGACGAAAGCGTTTGTTGTCGCGTCCCTCTCTACCACGCGGTCTTCGTACACAAACTCTACGGGCTTTACGTACCACGCTAGCCGGTCCTGCTGCGTGGTGTAGAGCGCGGTGTACTGAAGCAGCTTCAGGTATTTCGTGACAATCTCCTCTACTTTCTGCCGACGCTCGTTCGCCTTGGGCCAGTCCTTGGACATTGCGGCCGCTCGCCTCCGCGTAGTGGACCCTTCCATAGGTGCCGCGGCATCGACCGCCGCCAGTAAAACGTCAAAGAAGCTAGTCTCCTTCGTTGCGGCGTTCATCATTGCGCGAAACAGGTCCACCTTCTTGCCGTCCACCTTTTTAGATGAGCTTATCATAAACGGGAGCATCTCGTAGCCGCCGTACAGCAAGATTGGCACCACAAACGACAGCGGGTGAAGATCGGAACTACTGACGCGTACAGCGCGAGTAAAGAAATCGTCCTTGATGTGGTAGTAACCCGCCTGACGACTGGGAAGAGACTTGTCCAGCAGAGACACGGCGTGTTGCACGCCGCCAAACTCGAACCTGTGTTCGTCCTGTCGCTTCTTACTCTCGCTGTACTGGCGGGCCGAATACACGTAGACGTCTCGCGAGGGAATCTTTTCCACGACCGCAGCTACCCCGAGGAGAATGTCCGAATCGTCGGTGACAACGACGGACACGTCCCAGCGCTCGTCGTTTGGCGGCGGACACATTAAAGAGTCCACGACCTTGACGTCGCCTTCCCCCACGTAGAACGGCGGCAGGATCGTAAAGGACGAGAGTTGGTACGCTGCAGCCGACTCGTTCGAGTAGCCGTCAATCACCTCTTTGGCGTAGAGTGGGTTCTCGAGAAGCGTGGCATATTCCCTGACGTGCTGCATCACGTCCGATGCCGCGGTCAATCGGCAGATTGTGGCCATGGCGTCTTTGCCGTAGCGTGCCAAGTTTTTGAGCCTTCCGTTCAGGACAGACTGCAGTCTCGAATTTTCGATGGTCCGAACTCGCTTGGTGTCCTCGCCAGACGAGTTTTTGATGACGTTGGCCAGCTCTCTACTGCGACGCTTGTACTGCTCGGGCCACTTTACCGTCGGCGACATTCCGTCAAACACCACCACCACGTCAACTTCCACACGCCTGTTTAGGGACAGCCCCTTGACGACCCTCTTGACCGTCCTAGATATGCAATGAAACACCGTCGTGAAGAAGGCGTCGTATCGGATGCAGCGTTCGCCCGGTCTCGCCTCGTACTCCTTGTCCCAGTCCAAATCTCGAAGAACAAACGCGTCGTCTTCGATATAGTCTTCGACGTAATCGCCAACCAGATCTCCGTTGGTCTCGCCAACGTAGTGTTTGATAATCTCGAGGTTCAAGGCTTCCCACGCTCGCTCTCGGTCCTCTCGGTCGGCGATCGCTCGTGCGGCATCGATCTTGTCCGCAAACGTCTTGCGATGGTGGTCCGTCAGCGAGTGCTTGCAGTGGTGTAGAAAAATGTTACCGTCGACGACGACTTGAATGCGCGCCGACTCTCCGATCACGAACGAGGACGTCACGCTCTCATAGTCGAAGTGACGCGCAGACGGCGTAGGCGAAAAATACGTCCGCAAAACGAGGTTCGTGGCCGTCTCGACGTTACTGCCGGGGTCGTCCAAGAGCTGTAACTGAGACTCGAGTAACGGTGCCAGTTCCTCCTCGACGGCGCGGTTGCAAACTGCGTTGAGTGTATTCCAAAGATTTCGGATACCCATGGTGTCAATACGTTTATTGTGTGTGTAGAAGGGCGACGCTTAAGTACTCTCATCACACAAGGTCACGCCAAATAATGGAGGTTGTGTTTTTTTTTATTGGACGAGAAAGTGATACAGTATGCGTAATCCCTCTACCTGGGTGAAGGGCATCGGGTGACCTCCACTCGAGTGGGTAAAGTAACGCCCGCTCCCCTTGTTTAGATAGAGGAAGGGCTCTTGTAAAATGAACTTGAGGGGACAGAAGCGCTTGTTTGTTTCGGGATCGAGATGAGTGGAGAGCACAATCGAGTTGTCAAAGCCAGGTAGTTCGAGGGTGCTGCCTGTGGGTACGTGCGTGTATGCCGTTTTGCTCGGCACAAAGCTGACGATCGGCTCGTTGGTTATGTTGTTGATCAGAGACGGAATCGCGGCAAGACCCCTGTTTATTCTCTCTTCCCAGTCGCTGTGTTGGAAGAGGACGTTGTCCACGGTGCGCAGCACGTCTAGTAGCCGAATCTTTTTCGTTGCCGTCATGGCGTTGGCAATCACGCTCGGAATTCCTATCGTCTCGCACAGTCGGGGTAGTATGGTCTTGACGGTCGACTCGACGCTCTCGACAATTTTCTCCACCACGTCCTCTTGCAGGCCGGAAGCCTTGAGGCAACCCACGCCGCCACTCGCGATGCCGCCGCCGCGCTTCTTTCTCACGGTTCCGTCCAGGTAGACCATGACGGACGACGTCTTGACGTTGTTGATGTCGTTGACCACGTCGGAGATGGTGGGTTGCCGCACGCCCAGAAGGACCTCCCTCTTCTTTAGCGAACGGAGCTCGGCCGTGGCCACGCCGCGCGGAACGTAGAGGCACGAGTCGTAGGCAAACTTGTACGCGTTGCGGATGGCGGCGGCCGTAAACAGGTAGTCTCCGTTGTAGGCAGAACTAAATAACTCCAGGTTGTACATGGCGCGCACGCCCAGGGCTACGGGCTCTTCGCCGACGCCACCCGTTCCGCCAAAGGGCAGATTCGTGACTGTGCTTGCCAGCATTGTTATTGCGTCTGCATTCAACCAGCCCGCCTGATAGGTCTGACTCGAAAAGATTGTCTTCTCGTCGCTCCAGTCGCCTTCCACGTAATCGTTGTACGCCGGAACGTTTTTGAGAAACACGTAGGACCAGAACATGGGGTAGCGTTCCACGAGCTTGGGGTGATTCCTAACCAAATACGTGACGTGATCGTACGGATCAATCACCGATTTGTACTGGTCGTATAGGACGCGCCCGACAAAAGCCAAGTCTGCGCTCTCGTTGGTGTAGGCCGCCCTGCGTGGAATGAGGATCTCGATGGGCAGTACGGATCTCTGGTCCGAGACGCAGACGCGGACGTTATCGACGCTAAGGATCCAGGGAAAGGTTCTGCCCAAAACCTCGTAAACGTGTTTTCTAAAGAGACGTTCGCTACCGGCTCGATGGTCGCTCGCGGAAGTCACCGCGTTCCGGAGAGTGAGACTGTCGTAAATGTCGGATCGCTTGTTCTTGTCGGTGTTTTTCCAGAAATATGCCAGCATCATGTCGTAGACTATGGTCGCATTAGATGCTACGTTTCTTTGGTCGGGTGTCGTCAGTGGGACGGTGTCTAGTCTGTGGTTCGTACTAGTACTACTACTAGTAGTAGCAGTAGTAGTACTTGTAGTTGCAGTAGTAGTAATAGTGGTCATGGGAGCCGTAGTTGTATGCACAATCGTATTGAAAGGGGGAGTTGCGGCCGTGGTGGTGCTGTGGGGATTGTTGTAATTGTCGATTCGCGAAGAAGGCAGGAATGCACTCCTAAACATGTCCATTTTT